TTCTGCTTTGTGACAAACTTTTTCATGGTATTTCATATCTAACATATCCTAATCTAAATTGATTCAACCTAACTTAAAGAAAGAAAGGGGGGGGGGAGAATAGGAAATTCTGAAGAAACTGGGATTAAAATCTGAATCATGATTCAACGTATCGTCATTTGAGAATGCGTTGAATCACGGCACAGACACCGCACTGTTCTCTGTGCACAAATCTCCAGATAACGTATAAAACCGTTGGAAGAAAACTTACGTTGGTTTTAACTTTAGAAACACGTTTTCCTCATGGATATCGCATACGAACAATGAACAGACAACACTAAATATCATTCAAACGTTTCGGTCTCAAACTACATCATCAGTGCTAAAACAGTAACATTTACCAAACAGAATGGCTGATCGGTATCAAAAACATAGTTTTGTTAAAAAAAAAAAAGGTTATTTAAGTGCATAAAAATGTTAGGATACAAATGTATCCTAACATTTTTATGCTAAAGCAAAGTTGTTTATTTACAAATAAAATACTTCATTGTATGAACAACTGTACAGTACAGATGTAATGGAGCTGTTCAGCTGAGGCTTCTTTCTAATAATATATAGTCAGTCCTCACTTAACGTCGTTTAGTTCAACATAGTTTCATTATAACGTTGATGAGAAAAAATGGATTCCCAGCCGGGGCCACTGTCTGTGTGGAGTTTTGCACGTTCGGTTTTGAATTGCCTGGTAGCAGGTTGTGCTCCTTATAATTTTCACTTTGCAAACATTTATTCCTTGATTTAACTATCTTGCAGTGAGTGCTAAAGGTGCACTGTGCATCCCTGATGTTTATATCAATTAACCTTTGGTAAAATTGGTTTCATTATACGTCGTTTCGCTCAAAGTTGCAGTTTCCAACAACTATCGACGACGTTAACCGAGGACTGTACAAGAAATCAGAGATGAAGAGGTCTAATCCCTTTGAAGTTGCTGTCAAAACTGTGAAATCCTCAAATATATGAGGGTGGTTATTCAAGTGAGAGTTAACCTCAACTGCAGAGTTAGATGAAATAGACATGGGAAGCCCTGTACGGAACCGTCTACCTATATGCTATCAGACACGATGTTGAAAGCCACGTAAGGTACTCTACACATATCGAGCATTAAATCTCGAACACTTAGGCAGATAAAGAGAGAACACCTATGTGTATGTGCTTGTTTTAATATATATTAAGTCATTAAGGTACACATAAAACCCAACAATACTTGAAATCTAACTTAACATTTCTGCTACCTACCTGGAGTCTACCTGGAGGGTATGCAGGGGATCAACGCTGCTGCGACCCGGTCCACGACCGGGCGGCCTCCCGGTGGATCAGGGCCTGATTACCCAGGATGTTACTGCTGGCCGCACGTAGTCCAACATACGAACCACAGCTCGGCTGATCCGGCACCGACTTTAACACAAAGTTGTATACTCAGGCATAAAATACTTAATTACACGAACAACTGGACATTTGTCGGAGACGAGCCCAGCGGTCCAAAACGCATGCCAGCGATGCTGGCCACCAACACCATGTGGTCTATAGCAGCATGAAACCAAAGCATGTTACATAGGTGGGCTTCAGAAGATTAGGATGATCACCATCAGTGATCCAATACAAGTTCTCCACCGAACACATCCCAACCCTGACAAATCTTGGGGAATTATTAGTACTCCTTTTTTTACGGTTATTTTAAATCCGTTGACGACTCTCAACACTATCTCGAGGCACTCTCAACACTATCTCGAGGCACTCTCAACACTATCTCGAGGCACTCTCAACACTATCTCGAGGCATTCTCAACACTATCTCGAGGCATTCTCAACACTATCTCGAGGCACTCTCAACACTATCTCGAGGCATTCTCAACACTATCTCGAGGCATTCTCAACACTATCTCGAGGCATTCTCAACACTATCTCGAGGCACTCTCAACACTAATCTCGAGGCACTCTCAACACTATCTCGAGGCATTCTCAACACTATCTCGAGGCATTCTCAACACTATCTCGAGGCACTCTCAACACTATCTCGAGGCACTCTCAACACTATCTCGAGGCACTCTCAACACTATCTCGAGGCACTCTCAACACTATCTCGAGGCATTCTCAACACTATCTCGAGGCATTCTCAACACTATCTCGAGCACTCTCAACACTATCTCGAGGCACTCTCAACACTATCTCGAGGCATTCTCACACTATCTCGAGGCACTCTCAACACTATCTCGAGGCACTCTCAACACTATCTCGAGGCATTCTCAACACTATCTAGAGGCATTCTCAACACTATCTCGAGGCACTCTCAACACTATCTCGAGGCACTTCTCAACACTATCTCGAGGCACTCTCAACACTATCTCGAGGCACTCTCAACACTATCTCGAGGCACTCTCAACACATCTCGAGGCACTCCAACATATCTCGAGGCATCTTCAACACATACCGAGGCACTCTCAACACTATCCGGGGCATTACTCAACACTATCTAGAGGCAGACTCAACTATTCGAGGCTTCTCAAACACTATCTCGAGGCATTCTCAACACTATCTCGAGGCACTTCAACACTATCTCGAGGCATCTCAACACTATTCGAGTGTCACTCTCAACACTACTCGAGCACTCTCAAATATTCGAGGCACTCTCAACACTATCTCGAGGCACCCTCAACACTATCTGAGGCACTCTCAACCACTATCTCGAGGCATTCTCAACACTATCTCGAGGCAATCTCAACACTATCTCGAGGCATTCTCAACACAAACTCGAGAACTCCTCAACAATACTATCTCGAAGCACTCTCAACACTATCTCGAGGCACTCTCAAACACTATCTCGAGGCACTCCAACACCTATCTCGAGCACTCTCAACACTATCTCGAGTACAGTCTTCAACAATAATCTCGAGGCCATTCTCCAAACACTTATCCGAGGCACTCTCAACTACAACTATTCGAGGCACTCTCAACATTTATCTCGAGCACTCTCAACACTATCTCGAGGCACTCTCAACACTACTTCGAGGCACTCTCAACACTATCTCGAGGCACTCTCAACACTATCTCGAGGCACTCTCAACACTATCTCGAGGCACTCTCAACACTATCTCGAGGCATTCTCAACACTATCTCGAGGCATTCTCAACACTATCTCGAGGCACTCTCAACACTATCTCGAGGCACTCTCAACACTATCTCGAGGCACTCTCAACACTATCTCGAGGCACTCTCAACACTATCTCGAGGCACTCTCAACACTACTCGAGGCATCTCAACACTATCTCGAGGCACTCTCAACACTATCTCGAGGCACTCTCAACACTATCTCGAGGCACTCTCAACACTATCTCGAGGCACTCTCAACACTATCTCGAGGCACTCTCAACACTATCTCGAGGCACTCTCAACACTATCTCGAGGCACTCTCAACACTACTTCGAGGCACTCTCAACACTATCTCGAGGCATTCTCAACACTACTGAGGCACTCTCAACACTACTCGAGGCACTCTCAACACTACCTCGAGGCATTCTCAACACCTACTCGAGGCACTTCTCAACACTACTCGAGGCACTCTCAACACTATCTCGAGGCACTCTCAACACTACTCGAGGCACTCTCAACACTACTTCGAGGCACTCTCAACACTACTCGAGGCACTCTCAACACTACCTCGAGGCACTCTCAACACTACTCGAGGCACTCTCAACACTACTCGAGGCACTCTCAACACTACTCCGAGGCACTCTCAAACTATCTCGAACTCTCACACAATCTCGGGATCAAATAATCTCAGCTTCTCAACACTATCGAGCACTCAACACTACTCGAGCACTCTCAACCTATCTCGAGGCCCTCACATATCCGAGGCACTCTCACACATCTAGGCATCTCAACACTATCTCGAGCACTTCACACTCTCAGCTTCACACTATCTCGAGCATTCTCACACATGAGGCATCTCAACACTACTCGAGGCATCTCAACACTATCTCGAGCACCTCAACACTATTCGAGGATCTCAACACTATCTCGAGGCACTCTCAACACTATCTCGAGGCATCTAACACTATCTCGAGGCACTCTCAACACATCTCGAGGCATCTCAACACTATCTCGAGGCATCTCACTTCTCGAGCACTAACACTATTCGAGCACTCTAACACTATCTCGAGGCATCTCACACTACTCGAGGCACCTCAACACTACTCGAGGCACTCTCAACACTATCTCGAGGCATTCACACTATCTCGAGCACTTCACACTATCCGAGCACTCTCACACTATCTCGAGGCATTCTCAACACTATCTCGAGGCATTCTCAACACTATCTCGAGGCACTCTCAACACTACTTCGAGGCACTCTCAACACTATCTCGAGGCACTCTCAACACTACCTCGAGGCACTCTCAACACTACCTCGAGGCACTCTCAACACTACCTCGAGGCACTCTCAACACTACCTCGAGGCACTCTCAACACTACCTCGAGGCACTCTCAACACTACTTCGAGGCACTCTCAACACTACCTCGAGGCACTCTCAACACTACCTCGAGGCACTCTCAACACTACCTCGAGGCACTCTCAACACTACCTCGAGGCACTCTCAACACTACCTCGAGGCACTCTCAACACTACCTCGAGGCATTCTCAACACTACCTTGAGGCACTCTCAACACTACCTCGAGGCACTCTCAACACTACCTCGAGGCATTCTCAACACCACCTCGAGGCACTCTCAACACTACCTCGAGGCACTCTCAACACTATCTCGAGGCACTCTCAACACTACCTCGAGGCACTCTCAACACTACTTCGAGGCACTCTCAACACTACCTCGAGGCACTCTCAACACTACCTCGAGGCACTCTCAACACTACTTCGAGGCACTCTCAACACTACCTCGAGGCACTCTCAACACTACCTCGAGGCACTCTCATGATTTTCTCGACGAATGGGATAAAAATAAATATATCTAGACCAGTTTTTCACATAATTTATTTACGATGTAAGAGACACAATTATCACTTATTTACAAACATTATGGCACGAATATTGCGAACCAGAGAACACAGTGAATTAACAGAGACACAGACAAAGACAGACAGACAGACAGAGGCCGTCTGTCTGCAGGGTTTCTATACGAAAGATACTTAATAAAGTTATCTTTATTCCAGGAAAGGTATTTTTACACCGTTCACTTAGATATTTATTTTATTTACGACATAATGATATTCAGAGATAAAATAAATGAATGATGGTTTCAAATTGCTGGTGAAAATGCGCATAAATGAAGGTAGTTAATACTTATAAATGAAAAGTAAATGGAGAAGTAGAGATTAAATAAGTGGAGAGAGACTGGGAGGGAGAGGAAGGGAGATGGAAGGAGGGAAGGGAGAATGTAGGCAGAAAGCCGGACGGGAAGCAAAGAAATGATTAAACATTAAACTGTAATGAAGGAGATTACGATGTTAAGCTATTTCTGAACTATGAATAAACTTTGCACGGAGAAGTGAATAAACTTTGCACGGAGAAGTGAATAAACTTTGCACGGAGAAGTGAATAAACTTTGCACGGAGAAGTGAATAAACTTTGCACGGAGAATAAAGTAAACTGAAGAAGAAAGGTGTGTCAACATGACAATGAAGAACGAAATGACCTTATATAGACTTTTCGAGAAAAAGTAATTGCAGAAGTAAAGATACCACAATACGAGGAAGACAATAAATGAAGCATAGGCAAGATAAAAATTAGAACAGATAGGCAATAGAAGAAGCGTTGATAAGACTAAATAAAGAACTTACATAATGCAATACAAGAAACACAGACAACACAACAGAAGAAGCATAGATACGACAAAAGCTTAAAGATACGCAATAAATGTAAGATTATCTTAGACATAAAAAAGGTCTAAAGTGATAGTTGGAGATACACAATAACGTCAGGGAAAGCGTTGTTGTCGAACAATAAAAGGCTGAGATTTTGGGGTAATTGTTTTGTATACATCTATTGTCTAAACACCTTTATCGGGAGGCTTGAAATTTTATGATTGACATCTAAAGTTGACTATGTCAAGAGACGTCTTACTCGTTGTAGAGATATCCTACTCACTGTAGAAACATTCTACTCGCTGGAGAGATATCTAACTCACTGAAGACGCATACTACTTGCTGTAGAGGCATCGTAAGTGTTGAAGATATACGTCACTTGTTGAAGTGACATCGTACTCGCACTAAATAAAACCCTCTCGTTCTAGAGACAGTCTACTCGCTTTAAATGCAACCTAATCACTTTAAACACCACAACACCTATATTCCACACTACTACGATCATTATAAGTTACTCCTGACATTAGTGAACAAGTGAACACGATGTAAAGGGACTTCTAATTTACATCATGAACACCGACCAGTAGAGGAGAGATCTCTGGCATTCCTGGATAAAGCATTGTTATCACGGATCCAGCAGAACAAATGCTAGAGACTAATTTATTTTACTGGGAATAAACACCACAATGCCGTGGCTGGAACGGTTCCAGCCACGGCATTGTGGCTGCTAATCCACGATTTGGAGAGGCAACCAAAGAACGACGGTGAACCGGTTACTACTATTATCAGAATCATTTTGACTCAGGACGAAACCAAACTTCATCTATGGATCCCCTCGCAGAAATTTGGGTAAGATTTGCAGATTTTGGAAGATTAAACATTTACCAGGGCATCAGAGAGATATAAAGCCCTTCGACACGGTTGTAGCACTGATGGCAAGGTGTTAAATAACTCTATAAGCATTATTACTCGACTTGTTCATTTTACGGCGAACAAGAAGCGACGTGAAGCCATCCCAAGAGTGACAATAAATAGAATTGGATAGATATACTCTTTTGAATGTCAGACGTTTTAGAAAAGAGCATATCTATATACCCAAATTACATGAAAAAAATATGGATATGACGTTAAATGCTTCGACAACTTCTTAAACTATTTATATATATATATATATATATATATATATATATATATATATATATATATATATATATATATATATATATATATATATATATATTGCTAAAATCGGACGATTTATACTGGCTGGCTTTCAATTAATTTAGACAGAGCGACAATCAAAATTGCAAAAATTTATATTATGCATTAATTCATTCACTCTTTATATTACACTCATGATTTTGATAGTTAATGACAAAAGCTACAGTCACTTTACGGGGAGAGTTGGAGGAATACTCCGAGACGGTGATACCAGGATAACAATCATGGAGGTACGGAAGAATGGAAGATGACAGGATATATACTAGTAAATAGGCTGGCAATCATTGAAAGTTAGACTAGCGAGTGATCATGAGGTCGTAGTGAGTCAATCCACAATGAGGTTGCAACATCTACAGATCGAGGTTGTAGCATCAACAGGATGAGGCTGCAGCATCCACAGAGTGAAGATGTTACAACCACAGGGCGAGATTGCATCATCTAAAGGATGAGATTATATCTCTTGTGTTTCACTATTCAAAGACTGAAATTGGCTCTCTCTCGCTCTCTCTCTCTCGCGCTTTCTCTCTCTCTCTCTCTCTCTCTCTCTCTCTCTCTCTCTCTCTCTCTCTCTCTCTCTCTCTCCCTCTCTCTCTCTCTCACTCTCTCAAAGTTTGCATCTGATCACCTATAGAGAGCAAAATCATTTTTACCATGAAATGCAAACACACACACACACACATATATATATATATATATATATATATATATATATATATATATATATATATATATATATATATATATATGCATAGACTATAATATAAGTTAATGAGTCACTTGTAGACAGAAAAGAAAAATATATGAAATATCAGACAATATTGTCAATGTTACGTAAAATTATTCATAATAATATACACCTTACCATATCATGCAATAATTTGCAAATGTATTTCATGAAGCGCAAAACCCGTGAGGGTCATTCAGCATGAGGACTGGTGCGGTCTTAATCCTCCGTATGCTAATTGCGGTTTTACAAAAATAATAATAATGTGAAAAAGATGAAGAAGAAAAAAGGAGAAAATAATAATAATAATAATAATAATAATAATAATAATAATAATAATAATAATAATAATAATAATAATGAAAAATTTTAATAGTAATAAATTTCTCATGAATTGATACAGAACACGTAACTATATAGTGGTGGTAATGGCGGTGGTGTTTTGTTCGTCAGGAAACAAGATCAATGTCTCCTGACACGGAATAAACATTAACAGGAACAAAACGGTGCTCTATCTAGAGCTGTATCAAGTCTGAAAGTCTATACACAGAGCGAAACCTTGTACCCAAAATAAAAAGCTTTCTCTTCCTTACTGACGACGGTACGACGTTTGGATCGAAATACGGAGACCTTTAACTGGCTGAGAATCCGCTTGTGGAATAATTATAACCGTATATTTTAAAGGGGTGGACCGGTAAGCCAGCGGAAGGCTTCGGTCAGATGACCAAAATTTCCCTCCAGCTGCTGGTCATCAGATGACTAAGACCCACGTTAGGAACCATTTTCCTGACAAACATCACCAAACCGAAATCCTCTTGTTTTCCAGATCTTCATCCTACACCACCTTCAAAAAAAAAAAAAAATATCTAACCTGTAGCGTCTTAAAATGATGTGACATTATTTACAACATCGTGGTGACGCAAAGATAAACATAGGTCGTGTGTACTAAGAGGAAAGTGTTGGCTACGTTACCTCAGATGCCAGTTACCAACAACTCGCCCAGAGGAAGAGTGAAAACATCGGTCATTTGATATTGGCACTCGTAAATAAATGTTTAGTAAGATCTCTAATAAAACATTTAACGTGTAATCGACAGTGGCAGTATCTGGACACTATCGGCAGCGACATATCTGGACAGTATCGACAGTGGAAGTATTTGGAAATAACACGAGGGGGGGATGGAGTGAGAGGAAGTAACTGGGAGGGAAAAAATTATATAAAAAAATGTGGAGTGTATGGCGGTAGGTGATGGTGAAGATGAAGATAACATAGAAAGTGAGAGAGATGTGAAAATAATTGTCGAGGGAATCAAAGCTGGAATATAATAATACTGAGGAAGAATGGAGGGAAGATGGGGAATGGAAACAGCCGATGGAAACACTGATTCAATTGAACTTTCGAAGAGAGAGAGGTTTCACAGGACCAGTAACTATTTTTGTGTGTATGAGAGAGAGAGAGGAGGGAAAGAGAGAGAAGGGAGGGAGGGAGAGAGAGAGCAAGCATAACGCAAACATCTCATGAATCACCGGCACCAACATCACGGTGAACGACTATGTCTACTACCTGGTCAGTCTCACATAAACAAAGAGGCACAGTTTAAACCGGCCATCACATCAACTACATCAACACTCGACCAGGATATTAAATAATTATCCCATTCAAGTGTCAGTCGAAAATCTAATCCTCGACAAATATATCTTGATCAAGTGATATATATATATATATATATATATATATATATATATATATATATATATATATATATATATATATATATATATATATATATATATATATATATATTCATGTTCAAGAACAACTTGCTAAAGTCCTATTCATATATCTTGCCTTCGTGCAACACTGAAATGCCTCTTGGTTACTCTACTTTCTGACGCTCAATGGATGCTCTGTTGTCATTTGCTGCTAACGTGCCACTAGTACATCTATTGCTCAAGTGGTACTTGAGTACCCCTGCTTAAAAGGATCATTATAATAGCATCCTGCTCAGCAACTACTCTTATTCGGTCCATTTTTGTGACTTGGATCACTTGCTCGACTTCAATGTCCTCTTCCCCGCAGTCCTCACTCCCCGTCGGTAACTACATTTTGAAGACCATTTAACTGCATTCCTTCACATCTATGGGTCATCTTGTAAAATGTCTTCTATACACTTCCTGGGAAAAAACTTTTAAACTCTCAACAAGCTTCAAAATCACTTTATAATCACAAACTGTGATTTCCAGTTCTTTTTTTTCTTTCTTAATGTGGTTTCTGAGGTAATTATATTAATGTAGACTACAAATCACAATATTGTGGCTTGAATAATTTATAACTAACCCACAAATTAGAAATAAATGAAAAACTGTTAGCACTTCTATCCAGAAGTTCTATTTAGTTATTATATCACCGGTTTTAGTTAGGTAACATAAATTTTCCTTTTCTTTAGCACAGTTTCTTCCTGTGGTTCTCTGATGCACTTGTCTCTGTGTAATTTCTGCAAAAATGATCAGAAAAACACATCCATTTTTTTCCATTCGTCCACCAGGCGCTTTGTAATTATTCTTACCCATATTACCATAAAACTTATAATTACTATAATAATCACAGTTACAATTATCACCTTCATTACCAATCTCATATCAATTCCTTTGCAATTAATATTTCCACTCTCGTCAGTTATCAGTAATTTTCTGTCATCATTTGTTTTACCAACTTTTTGTATGTGAAAAAAAAATAAGTTACAGTCGTATTAATGACTAAATACGGATGAATGATTTCCAGTGTCTCGTATTTCTGAATATCTTAAAGAAAAATTAAAGCAAAGATCTTTCAAACTTTCACTTAATTAAACTATCTGCTACACTTACTACTCTAACCTGATGTCATTATTCTAGAGATAGTTTAAATTAAATATTTCAATATTATTTCTACTGTTGCTATATATATATATTACATACATACTTAAAAAGTCTTGCAATGTCTCACTGCAGATGAGAGTTCAAGCACATTAAGTCACAAGCGCAAATATTTCTAAAGTGAATGCTTTGATAATGTCTCTCCTGAGTGTAGTTATAAGCAGGAGACTTCTCCTTGAACACACAATTTTTGGTAGCTATTGAAGTATTTTTGTAGAGTGACAAGATTGATGCGGTTACCTATAGCAGTCAAAGCCCCGTTATCTATGAGAACCCACAAGTATATCTGTCATCCTCTTTTTTTTTTTTGGGGGGGGGGGAGTTTTCAGCAACGATTGTGGCCATTTTCTTGAGGTCTGGCCACCACAGATTCCATTTTTTAATAATGTATGAACTTCACATTTTTTCTAGTTAATGATATCCGTAATATTTATTCCAGTTTCCCCGCTATGTTTACTGCTACTATCAAGTATTAGGGATAACTCCTGGAAGTATATTTATTACGATATTCGGTACAGTCTTCTTCAGCAGTGGCTTTTGCTGACCGTGTTTTTCAAGTATTACTGCAGGTGCGACAGCAGAGTTTATTGTAGTATTTGAGACGACACAACCTTGCTCGGAAAACCAGATGGCAGTTCTTTATTCGGTCAATACAAGCTGTGAAGAAAAATAAATAAGATGAAAAGGAAAGCAGATATACTAAAGTCGTTCATATCATATTTTTCATTTAATGTTGTAAAAACCAAGATAGATTTTGTGATGCATCGAGTAAAGGCAGAATATATATATATATATATATATATATATATATATATATATATATATATATATCAAGCTGCGACAGGCCAGGATTCGACCCCAGTACACAATGTCCCTCCTCAAGAGGCCAAACATTGTACATGTCACCCTACCATCTGAGCCATCGATCCTACAAACAACATGAGCTTAGCGCACTAGGCTTGTTTCATGTTGCGAGGACACTCGTGGCAGATGTATGTTCAAGGATTAATTTCAGCCTCCTCCTGTTGGAATACCCGCCTCTACAAGCAGTCTATTCAGCAATGAAACCACGAAACAAGTGGTTCTGAATCATTTACCAAACCACGCAGAAACAAGCGGGTATATACAGAGAAAGAACACAGTTAGCAGGACTCGATACTGCTGCTGAGACGGACAAGATTCCTAGGCAGCGCTTCTGCGTGGTGCATTGATATAAAAATCGCTTGTGAGGTCAGAATATACAGGAGGAGATTGAAAAAGCTTGAATCCATGCTTGAGGCTCACTGACGTGCCCGGTCTGGGAAAGAAACAAGGCTTGTGAACCAGGCTGCTCAGTTTATGTGGCATTTGTGGCATAGTGGATAAGAGCGCTACCTGGGAATCTTGTCCGTTTCAGTAGCAGTATCGAGTCCTGCTGACTGGGATATATATATATATATATATATATATATATATATATATATATATATATATATATATATATATATATATATATAAATGAGGAAAGATTTGATTTTTGCGCTGAAGCTGATTGATTGTATTATGAAGGTGTGAAGGAGTGAATGTAAAGTATAAATCAATCTCAGTGTGCATTGTGAGATGACAAAGAATCGTTGTTTATTGTGAGGCAACCATGAGCCTCGGAGCGTAGTGTGAATACGAGGTATCAACCTTATTGTGTGGAGTGTGAGGTATTAGTGAATCACAGTACTGTGAAAGTGACATTAGTGCATTACAAGTAAAAATGAGTCTTTACCTGGCTCCTCAGTGGCTGGATGATACTTTGTGGTATCCTCCGAAGCTTCTGTCCCACCCTTATCATGCCCTTCCTTCTTTCTATCTTTTTTCTTCTTTTTCTTCCTCTTCTTCTCCTCGTCCTCGTCCTCGTCAACGTCGTCGTCTATTTCCTTATCCTCGTCCTCGTTACCTGAAACAGACTCGTCCCCTTGTGCGTCCTTGTCAGGGATAACATTGAGGGCGCTGCCTGTAGTCTCCTCAACTACTAGTTCATTCTCCTCCTCTCCCTCTTCTTCCTCCTGCTCATCCTTCGTCCCATCTTCCTCCTTGCCATCCTCTCTCTGTGTTGCATGACCTTCGTCAGGAGGGGCGTCCTGTTCTTCACCTACCCTCGCCTCGCCTCCAGCTGGTCCCTTCACTCCTGACTCTTCAGCAGCGCTGCTCTTGGACGAGGCTGTCCCTGAATGGCAAAAAATAATATGGTGAAGCAAACTGAAACAGTCCCGTTTTTCTGGCAAAGTATTGTTATATTCTAAGTGTCTTTTCTTTGCATACATGGGAGAAAATTTTTTGTAAGGAATGATCTAGAGTACAGCAAAGGTGGTTCGTTTCTTGAAACTACTAGATATGTAAGTAAGTTCAGAATAAATTAAAGAAAAAGAAAAAATCAAGTTATCTCCAAGGACACCATATCAAGAAAGACTGAATGAAATATTGATAAAATGAAACCAGCGTGAATGACAAACAGTTACTTGAGATCATATATGAAGAAAACAATGAGAGAGAGAGAGAGAGAGAGAGAGAGAGAGAGAATCCACACTGATATAATACATCCTCACTACTGTACGCAGGCTTTCTGGTGTCAACAGCACCTGCAGCAGGCTCTAGCTCTTGGTCTTCAGGGACGGCGGAGGCGTTGCAGGGATGGAGGTTGCATGGCTGGCGGATGTCGGGGCGAGTGAGGTTGAAGCAGTCAGCCGTTGGCGTGTGTGTGGCGTCGAGGCACGTCACCTCCCGTCTCATGACGCCTCCCTCGCACGAAGCCGAGCACTGCGGCAGGAGATGATGAGATGGAGGGAGGTTGGAATCCAGGGGCAGAGATGGAGGGAGGTTGGAAGCCAGGGGCAGAGATGGAGGGAGGTTGGAAGCCAGGGGCAGAGATGGAGGGAGGTTTGAAGCCAGGGGCAGAGATGGAGGGAGGTTGGAAGCCAGGGGCAGAGATGGAGGGAGGTTGGAAGCCAGGGGCAGAGATGGAGGGAGGTTGAAAGCCAGGGGCAGAGATGGAGGGAGGTTGGAAGCCAGGGGCAGAGATGGAGGGAGGTTGGAAGCCAGGGGCAGAGATGGAGGGAGGTTGGAAGCCAGGGGCAGAGATGGAGGGAGGTTGGAAGCCAGGGGCAGAGATGGAGGGAGGTTTGAAGCCAGGGGCAGAGATGGAGGGAGGTTGGAAGCCAGGGGCAGAGATGGAGGGAGGTTGGAAGCCAGGGGCAGAGATGGAGGGAGGTTGAAAGCCAGGGGCAGAGATGGAGGGAGGTTGGAAGCCAGGGGCAGAGATGGAGGGAGGCTGGAAGCCAGGGGAAGAGATGGAGGGAGGCTGGAAGCCATGGGCAGAGATGGAGGGAGGCTGGAAGCCATGGGCAGAGATGGAGGGAGGCTGGAAGCCATGGGCAGAGATGGAGGGAGGCTGGAAGTCAATTCCTTTAAGGAAAAATGGGATGAAAGAAGAGATTGTGAAGATTAGGAGAGAGACGAACAGAGGCATAAACTGAGGGATGAAGGTACAACTGGAGGAATGTAGGGAGACTACCCAGTTGAGAAACAGAGGGAAAACAGATGGTGGAAAGCTGGAGACCAAAGGAGAACGATGAATTAAGGCTGGACATGAAGGAATTTATGGAGTGATGAATCGAAACTGGAGGCCAGTAAAGAAGATGGGGAGAGGTGGGAGTTCTGTGTTTGGGTATATAAATATCAGTAGCGTTCAGTCAATCTATGCTAAAATAACACTCAACCTATCACCAACTGGAACAGAAATATTTTTGTGAGGCAATAAACTCTAAGCAAATAAAGAATAAATGGGCGCAATACCGTGACTGGAACAATACACAAATAACCCGCACATGACTAGTTAATGGTCCAAGCCGGTCCGACTGACGAAGGTGTGTACTACTCACCTGTGGCCACTCAGAGATGTATCACTCATCTTAAACCTCTCAGAGGTGTGCACCACTCACGTGTGACCACTCAGAGGTGTGTACCACTCACCTATGGCCCCCTCACCTGGGACCACTCAGCGGTGTACCACCCACCTATAACCCCTCACCTGGGAACAGTCAGAGGTGTACCACTCACCTGGGACCACTCAGAGGTGTACCACTCAGGTGTACAGGGCTGGAGGTTACACTGGCGGGAGTCCTGAGGTCTGGACTCCACCTTACAGTGTGAGTCTTGCAGAACCCGCCAGCGTTGACGACTCAACACCACACACAGCACCGAGCGAGTCTGCACCCCCAAGCCACACTCCTCACTGCACTCTCCCCAAGGACCTGTTGAGACGGAGGGAAGGAGGTACGCAGGTACAGAGTCACATGTACGTAGGAAGGAGGGTTGGAGAGAGGGGGGAGGGAGAGTAAGAGGGTGTACAGGAGGGATTTAGGGAGGAAGGGGGAGGGGTTGGAAGTTAGGGAGGGTGGGGCAAAATAAAGTTTTTTATTTTTTTTTAATGCTATATTTTGAAAAACGTAAATTAATTTTCTCCTTTCTTAGAAGCGTTTACATTTATCCATGATAAATCTCTATACTCTATATTATGTGCATATTATAAACACACGCAGCAAATTCAAGGTCTGTTGCACCTGACCGTAACTAAAGTCAGCAGTCAAAAAACGACCTGGCAGTAAGGGCAAGACAGTAGCTTTTCTTTACTCTTATATTCTTTCACCACTACTTACACTATTTACAAAGTTAAATCAGCGGTATAACTATAATACAGATAGAAAAGAACCACTTATAACGGCAGTATGAGTGGACTAGACTAGCACAAGTAAGTATCTGACTCACATCCAGGTGGTCAAGCACATCACCTTAGCTGACGAGTCAGCTCTCACGCTGTTGGTTCAACTGGACAAACAACACAGCAGTGGGGTCCAGAATTACTATAGTATTCTGAATTGCCAGTTGGCTGGTGGAGAGGGCATACTAGTGGTTAGGTTAGGTAAGTGTTTCCTGACGCAGGTCTTGGTCAGATGATGACCCGCCTTTGGAGCTTTTGGTCACCTGACCGAGGCCTTCCGCTGGCTTACCGGTCCACCCCTTTAAAAATTATGGTCGCCAGAGTGCGTAATATTAATGCTACACACTGTTCTCATGTATATCTCTACTGCTTTCACCCTCCTCTTTTAATTATCATTATTCTTATAATCATGGGGGAAGCGTTAAACCCTTAGAAGTCTAACAGCATCTAGAGTATGGGAGGCATTTGCAATGAAAGTGATTAGATTCAAATCTTTGGATCCAATTCTTTTTACCAAGAGTCTATCACAGGCTCTTGATGGGGCTCCTCCACTATTCTTTGTCACACTTCTCTTTTTGACTCCATGTACATACAGGTTTTTCTTTGGAAATAAATGGTATAAAATACCGACACGATAGAAATATAAACACATATGCAGTATAATGTGATCCTTTATTGACAGCGTTTCGCCCACACAGTGGGCTTTTTCAAGTCACAAACAAGTAGATCTGTTTGTGACTTGAAAAAGCTCACTGTGTGGGCGAAACGTTGTCAATAAAGGATCACATTATACTGCATATGTGTTTATATTTCCAGGTTTTTCTTTCTCTCAATACTCCCTGTATTTTTTACCTCTTTGTTTACGTGACTCACCAAGTGCTTTATATACCATCCTTCTAATATACTCTAAAAACTAAATACATTAACTTTCTTATTTCTCGCTTTCTCTTCCGATATGAGGCCACCACCACTACCCACCTACACCAACCACCATCAACTAACCATCTACACCTACCGCCACTCACCTACCTAGGAACCACTGGCCACCACAGCCACTCTCCTCTCTGCAAGGCCTGGTTCTGTGGGGAGTGTTGACAGAGGGACACCCTCCTGTTTGCTCCCCGAAGTTCTCTTCTCCTGCCAAACAATGCACACGTCTCCTCTGTACACCCGTCCCGCATGTCTCCGAGCACTGTTGCAGGGTGTGGGGAGTGTGGCATGGAGGTGTTGCCATAGATGCATTTCAGGACGTGGATGGGAGCATGGTGAGGAGGGGATTCCTCAGGTAGACGGAAATATCACAGGTTTGCAGGATTGGAAAATAAAGAAAGCGATTTACATTAGTACATTTAAAATCATCATACATTTACACACACACACACACACACACACACACACACACACACACACACACACACACACACACACACACACACACACACACATATATACACACGCACACACACACATACACACACACATACGCACACACACACATACACAAACACAGTGTGTATGTCTAATTAGATGTGTGTGTGTGTGTGTGTGTGTGTGTCTTAATTATATAAAATAAATATGTTTATTAGTCGATGTTTTCAAGAGTGTTTCTATTAACATTATTTTCTCACATGAAAATGAATACTTATAAAAAAATATGAGAGAAGCGAACAATAATTAGAACTATTATATTCCCTTGGACACACCAGAATAGTACGGGTCACACAGAGCCTGGGAAACAGAAGCGAGTCATGTTTTATCCCAGGAATTACAGGGGCAGCTCTAATTCTTCGGTCTAAGAACCCTTTACCAGCACTAGAATGGAATTACAACTTGAGAGAACGCCTACCTGTTCAGACCATCTAGAGAAAAACCAGGTATTGGTGGCGCAGGATCCCATGTCGCAGACCTGCTCCTTATCTGGCCTGGTGTTGGATGAGCAACTCTCCTCACTCACAGGAACGCTTCTCAAGATGCAGGTAACCGTCCTGGTGCGGGTACCGAGGCCACAAGGGGCTGAGCAGTTACTCCATGGCCCTGAGTCCCACTCAGGGGTGTTGCTTGAACATCGACCCATCTCACACACCTGGACGAGAAAACACCGGTCATGTAAGGCTTCGCAACTGACTCCCAACTTTGTAAATGGATTCTCCACGAACGTTACGGTGAGTACTGAACCATTATTCACTGATGAAGACTCAGATCTTCGTCTAGGTTTCATTTTAGTACCACAATGAAACTATGGTTTACAATAAGGTAACAATCATATAGAAAAGAGTAGTCACTCACTGGGGGCATTTCCTCAATAAAATTCACATATAGTGTACCTACGCACTTCAGGTCTTCCTAAAATGTAACTCATACCAAAGCGTAGCTCCACACCAGCCCCGCACTGCAGGAATTCCACGTGAAACTCATAAAAAACAGCGTAGCCCCCACACCACGGGTGTTCTCACAACGCCACACATATACATTACGCATAATTGCACACAACATGCGTTATTAATTTTGTTTAACAGCAGTCAGAAACAGACCTGAGAGGTAGCGACGGTGGGAGGGGAGAGACATGCTGCCTTGGGTACCATCATGGTAAGCGAAGGTGATACCACTTGTTTACACACCAGAGGTCGAGTTTGTACACCCATTCCGCAGGTGACGCTGCATGGGCTCCACTCCCCTGGCATCCACCTGTAGGGGAGACAGAGGAAGGTGAAGGTGAATGCTACAAGAGGAAGGGTACCTGAGGAAAATGTTGGTGAAGGTGAGAAACACAAGATTTAACACTTATGCACTTACATGGTACCTTTAGTGACACATTTTGCCCACTCAGTGTAACCTGATAAAGCCTAGTTGAAAGGGTGAAACGTCTTCAATAAAGATTTCGTATAACTGTGCATTTCGGTATTTCGTACCATTACCTACCCACAAGATCGCCATGTTGGTTCAATGGGAAAGATCTATTTAGGTGAATAAAATCTATTTAAGAGAGAAAGATCTAGCTACGTGTATAAGATCTAGCTAAGTTATTAATATCTAATTAAGAAAATAAAATCTATTTAAGTGGAACAGGATCTTGGCATTAAGATATTATGTTTCGGAAAACAAAATTCTTAGATTATTTTTCATGAAGAGGAGGAGGAGGAGGAGGAGGAGGAGGAGGAGGAGGAGGAGGAGGAGGAGGAAGGGTGTTAGGAAAATGGCAAGTAGGTACCACACTAAGAGGGTACTTCACGGGCACCACAAAGACGGCAGAGATGTACCGCGTAGGTACTAGACACTCACGTTGCTGGACAGGGGTTGAGATTACACATGACGAGTCTTGTCTCCGGGCGAGGCAGGTGTCCACACCGACGATCAGGAACGACTTTCTTGCTCCTTTTCTTCTCACACGACAATATTACCGTCTGGTTACCTAAGGGAGCAAGAGGGTGAGAGTAGAGGTTGTGCGAGTTAGAGAAAGAGTGAGAGAAAGAGAGAGAGAGGGAATTGAGGCTTGTGTATTGTGAGATGATTTTAGACTCGTACTAAAGACACCGAATAGGTAATTCACCACTAAATATCCTGTTAAGGCAATGCTCCAAGGCAAATAAGAAAACTACCACATAATTTTAACGATGCTGGAGAAAATGCAAACTTGATCAGTTTTGGATATCCGACTTTACTGGAACCCAGGGAGCACTGGGGAAACTTACCTCTACCACAGGTCCTGGAGCACGGCGTCAACCCCTTCTCAGCCCACTGAAATCTTAATCCTTGCTTCCTATGGCGTCCCTTTCTGTCTTTTTGATTTTCCTTCCCTCTGTCAGCCACATGGGCGCCTACGCCGTCCTGCTGGTGGGGATGAGGTCGTCGACGACTTCCCTTACCGCGTCGTCTTGGCCCACCTGATGTGATCTGAGAGAGGGACACGAAAGAGGTGATGAGCAGACTGCAGTGTAGGTAAATTCCCAATCTCCTTTGCTCATCTTTCCCAATTTTGGTTTTCACAGGAAGCGTTAGCACCATTGCTTGTGCTGTGTGACCCAGCACAAGTAATGGTGAAGATTCGATTTTCTCTTCGAACCACAAGACAGAGAATATGATTATAGGTTTTATTCTATGCTTCCCTCGGAGTATTCTGTGAATATTTCGATTAATAGAAGGAAACTTGAACCTCCACCAATCCTTGCTCTAAATGACTCTCAATGGTTTAATGTTCTATATAAATATATATTTGATAAACGTCCACTTTCTTCAGGTACTCCTTTTCTTCAATTTAAAAACTTTTTCTTTACTTTCGAATGAAAAGAAAAAATGGACTCCTTATTTTGGTACAGAAAAATAGCTTATGAGTAACAGTTTGCTCTTAGGTTTTTTTAAGGTACCTTGTTAACCTTAGATATAAACCATCGAAACGTCCATTTTGCTCCAAGAAAACCTTGTTAACATTAACTAGCCCAGATGGCGAGCATTGTATTTTGTTTATTTTTGTTCACCACCAGTTAAACCCCTTGAGCTTTGTTTATGCCAAAGAACCACTTGGTAAAATAGTTTCCCCAAGATGAACATTACAGCGACGTACGGTTCTGTTGTGTGTGGTAGAGGCGGGCGAAACGTTGGGTTGGGTCAGCTGTACACCTGGATCGAAGGGCGTGAACTCTGGAGGCTTTCCGGACACCTTCCTTCGACCTGTTGATATGCAGACACAATGACACAACATGGGAGAAAGTGATGCAAAATTGCAAGAACTATGATAATAAGACGTCAGATTACCCGACTTGCAAGAAGCTTAGAATATGGTAGATTGCAATGAACTGCAGCAAGAAACATGCAAGATGGTAAGAGCTATAAGAAGCAAATAATTTTAACAGAAGTGCTGGCAAGGATCCGCCCAATGGCATTTGAGCTCCATGATGCACAGAGAGTAGGGGCTCAATAAATTGTTAAATGTTCTTATTTCTGGGACATACATACCTAAGGATTCAGTCGGAGATCACACTCTTAGTCAATTATTATTATTATTATTATTGTTATTATAATCATGGGGGAGCGCTAAACCCGTAGATATTATACAGCGCCTATGGGGGGGGGGGGATGAAAGGCATTCAGGCTCACTTCAGGGAACTGGAGGACAAATCCAATTCCCTAGCTCAAGAGCCCCTTGAGAGGCCTTAATCAGTTGAACTCTGAAAGATTAATCACATAAAACTAGGAGACAGTGATGTTAACTAAATCTAATTTTCTTCATGAGCTGTAAATGTAAGTAATGAGAAAAAAAAGTTCTTATTCTAGTATTCATGAACATATCTTCAACGTCCATCATAAATTTGCTCATGCAGACTTGCCAAGCAGACTTGCCAAGCAGACTTGCCAAGCAGACTTGCCAAGCAGACTTGCCAAGCAGACTTGCCAAGCAGACTTGCCAAGCAGACTTCAATAAAATGTTAAACAATGCAGAAAGGTCTGCTGAAGAGAAATTAACACGGAAATTTCCGTGGTTTAAGAGTAGTGGCAACATTCTTCAGGATTCTCACCCAGTGAGAAAATGTCAAGAAAATATGATCTGCTCAGAAGAGAACGTCTGTACTATTTAATAATAATAATAATAATAATAATAATAATAATAATAATAATAATATTAATAATAATAATAATAATAATAATAATAATAATAATAATAATAATAATAATAATAATAATAATAATATTAATAATAATAATATAATGGTAAAAATATATGGCTTATAAAATTTTGAGTAGCATTTAGTAGATATTTTTATGATAAGCAGAGATGAAATACAGATACACACACTGGAAATATTTGTGAAACAACAAAAGACATTGTGTTCTCACCCGGTCCAAGCTGAGAGCCATGTTGGTGTCGTGTCTTGTGTGTCACTGTAAGTGTGGGCGAGGTGGTGGCACCGGGCGAGGGTCGTCGGTGGTGCCCAGGGACAATGCTAGGAAGTACTCTGGACCCCTCTGGAGTGCCAGGCCGGGGGATAGCGACAGGCCTCAGAGGCAAGCTGTTCTTGGGGAATTCTGGTAGAAACCCGCTCTCTCTAGGCGGAGTCAAAGAGCTGGCGTCGTGGCTGACCTCGTCAGTGTCTCCGTCAGTTCTTACCTGCCCCGGGTATCTTTGTGCTGGGAACCCGCCACTTGGATACTGTTGCCCCGGCAGGAAGGGCGTCCCAAGGGAGACCCCTCGACCCCCTTCTTGTAAGCTATATGTGGGACTCCATGGTATAGGTACAGTCCCTGAGGTCTTGGTGGCACTCCCTAATGGTGTGATGGGCTGGTTGTGGGAAGGAATGCCAGGGATACCAGAGGGAACCCTAGAACCAATGTTTGTTGTGGGATCAAGTTGAGTTCCCAAAAAGGGTGGTCGTTTTCTTTTAAACCCCGTTGGATTTGTTCCCACGACACTAGACTGGGAATTGATGGGAGTAAAGGGAATACCGCTGGAGTTAAAACTGCTCTGTCCGCCACCACCCACTGGCCCGAAGTTTCCTCCTGGGAGACCGGTGTTTCCGGTGCTGTAAGGGTACAACCCATGGACGCCTGGATTCACGCCTCCTGCATTAGGGATCCGGATTCCGAAATTCGTTTTCCTCGAAGCGATGCTTGGATTTCCCTGAGGCAGAGGCTGGAAGGGGGTCAACTGGCCTTCCATGTTTGGTCTCAGACCTCCAGATGGGCTGCCCAAGGCTCCCGAGGGAGGATTTAACCCGCCCGAGGAGGGACCAGTGAGATATTCTGGTAGTGGTACTCTGTACTCGTACTTGATGCCTGGGTTGGGACTCTGCGATATCAGCTGTAGGAATAGCATTGAGCAATTAGATTTTATAATTATGGTTCTTCAGTTTACCAGCTTGCAATATATAAATCAAATATATATGAGTGTCTGATAAGGTATAAAATACTTTAGTTAGCCTCAAAATCGTAAACCTCATTTTCTGTGAGTAACCATCGACTAAATTATAAGAGAATGAACATTTGAACGGAAACATGTTAATTATTGGAATGATGAATTAAGATAAGATTTGTTCGCATTTTTAACCCGGGGGAGGGTTAGCCACCCAGGATAACCTAGTAAAGTCAGTGCATTATTGAGGATTGTCTGCTTAATTTCCACTGGGATCCTTCAATCTTGTCCCCTAGGATGCCACCAACACCAGCTGACTAACACCCAGGTGCCTACATACTGCTAGGTGAACAGGAACAGCATGTGTAAGGAAACATGCCCAACGGCTTCTCCCGTGCCGGGAATTGAACCATGGACACTCAGTATGTGAGGTGAGTGCGTTGCCAACCGAACCACGGGACATCTTGCAGAAGAGGACTATATTCGGGTTATACCTGAGAATTAGTAACCCAATTAACCTTACCACTGCAGTGTGACTAATTGGAACTAGGAGACAATTTGACACAGAACCACATTTGCTATTAAAATTACATTTACCCCTTTTAATGCAGCTTTTAGCTACAGAGTAAGCTTACCATGAAGTCAATGGGTTCCCTGAGAGGTCCTGGGGCCGAGAGTTGCTCCCCGTGGCCGTCAGTGGACGGGGTGTACAAGAAGGTGGTGCCTGCCGCTATATACTGACCCGCAGCTTGGATGTCCCAGTTCCCGTTGAGGACGTAAGTCCCATCCGACCGTCGCAACGCTGCGGGGCAACACAAGGAAAGATAAGTGGAAAATGAGTTTAAATGAAGGAGAGTTACGAGCAGTGGAATGTGAAAGAGCCAATACATAAATTTATTAAGAAAGTTGTCAACTTTCTTTACAAAAGAGACATACTTTATAGCAACCAAATCATTCCTTCCACAATTTTATACATAAGTTTCATGAATCGGGCCACTGAACGCTTCTCTCAGTCTCGGGAACGCTCGAGCACCAGCGGTATATAGGAATATTTTCACAATGATCCTATCTAGTTATAAGTACAAGGAACTGAGCGAGATTTTAAGGTTTGCTCAAAAACTCAAATAACAGTAGCAAGCGAGTAGCTAGAATTTCAGGCAGGAAGAGGAGGAGGGAAGGATAGTAGGTATTTTCTTCGTGAGGAAATGTCATCCTGACCTGGTCTTAGCTTACGACGACCCGTCAGGAGCTCTTCGAACAAAATTTTATAAAAAGATTTTTATCTATCCAAATTACCCGAAGGTTCCAGAGTTAAGGACCAAATTACAGATGAAAAAAACACTGAAAGAACTGGTATAGAGTTAAGCTGTCATTAGAGACAGGATAAACTCACCGAAGAAGTTCTTGGAAGGCTTCATCTCACTGATGGTGAGATTGCAAACACCAGCAGGCACAGGAGTGACGAGGGAGTAGCCGTAGGGTAGTGAAGACCTGGTGAAGATCCCTGTAGGAGTAAAGGCACGAGGTCAGTCATGATGGAAAAGAGGGTGAGGCGGGAGGAGAACCAACAACCTTGGCGTATACTGGAACACGACCGCGATTAACAGACAGAGAATCGAGCCTCTCACACCCCTTGATCTGAATAAGTTACAAATTAAGTAGATCATGTAGAAGCTACAGTACATCTATAAAACATAATAACAAGTTTGATTTGTATTTACATTGTAGCTAAAATTTAATAAGTCAGAAAACGGCTCAGACTCCTCTGAAACTTTGATATTTATGTAATACTATTTCTTCTTTTCTCAAAACTTTCTTTTTTTTAAAGAAATTTAAATGAAGAAATGAAAAAAAAATTCTTCAACGAAGACAAGGAATCTTAAAAAAGGGCAAATATATTATTACATTCCCGTGGAAGCGCTAAACTCGTAGGTGTCGCCCAGACCCTGGACACTAGGAGGTAATCAAGGTTTGATCCATAGAAGAGGAAAGTTGCTCTAATTCTTTGGATCAAAAGCCCTCCACTAGCATAAAGCCGCATCAAAATTACTTCAAGAATTTCAGGGGAAGAAGGTACATGCTACAAGGCTTTCAGGGAAAAAAAAGGTACTTTTTTCAAGACTGTCAGGGGAAGGGGGAGCTTCTTTTAAGGCTTTCAGGAGAAGAAGGAACATCCTTCAAGACTTTTTAGGGGAAGAAGATACTTCTTTCAAGACTTTCCGGGAAAAAGGGTACATCTTTCAAGACTTTCCGGGAAAGAAGGTACATCCTACAAGACTCTCAGGGGAAGGAGGTACATCCTACAAGACGTTTAGGGAAAGGAGGTACATCCTACAAGACTCTTAGGGGAAGGAGGTACATCCTACAAGACGTTTAGGGAAAGGAGGTACAGCCTACAAGACGTTTAGGGAAAGGAGGTACATCCTACAAGACGTTTAGGGAAAGGAGGTACATCCTACAAGACGTTTAGGGAAAGGAGATACATCCTACAAGACGTTTAGGGAAAGGAGGTACATCCTACAAGACGTTTAGGGAAAGGAGGTACATCCTACAAGACGTTTAGGGAAAGGAGGTACATCCTACAAGAGATACGGAGGAAATTTTAGGAATTGCTGGACTGTTTAAAATTTAGATTCTTCCTAGAAATGAGAGAATAACACAGCTGGATACATTGGATACAGCGCATGCGTTACGATGGGACACAGGCACTGGATACAACACTTGTGATACAGTACACGACATCTGCAGTGATATACACATTCGAATATTACTTCTGTATTTTTTACTAGGAGTATGGCTGTAAGCGAGACATGTCTGTCTCGCCCTCTTCAGACGGTGTATCGAGCCTTCGTTTATCTTTGGCCAGGATGACCTCCACGGGTTTACCGCTTAACTTTATTTTTAATAAGATTTTTTTCCGGAAACATTAACAATACCAGGTAATCAGTACACTGTATTATCCAAATAAAAAAAAATCCCATTATTCCAGAACTGTTCACGTACTGAATTGTATATAACCAAGTATTATCAAAATTATTATTTTTATTATTATTATTATTATTATTATTATTATTATTATTATTATTATTATTATTATTATTATCATTTCTCATGGGGGAGACCTACTTCATTGAAGGGTCATGCAGTATCTAGGAAGAGAAAGACAATATCAGGTTTGATCCTTGGAAAAGGATCAAACCTGATCAATAGGCCTTCATCAGTATAAAAAGAGGGGGGGAGGACGAGGAGAAGGTGGAGTCTCGAACCTCTGTCCTGTAAAAGCGGTCTACTCACCGGATATAATTCTACAAAGGTTCCTCTCTCTGGAGCACAGAGCACAGGTGGGAGGGATCCTGCCCAGGTGAAGCCCTTGCAGTGACTGGTGGGTTCCTACTGCCCCACCCTGCAGTGACTGGTGGGTTCCTACTGCCCCACCTTGCAGTGGCTGGTGAGTCCCCAGGGTAGTCCCCTGCAAAGTCTGCAGAGTCCCCAGCGTCCCTTCCTGCAGAGGCTGGTGGGTCCCCATGGAGGATCCCGTGCGGAGGGAGTGTCCTGGACGTCCTCCTTGCAGTGCCTCTGGCGTAGGGAGGTGCACTCCTCCTCCCACTACCTGCAGCCACAACACACGTATTGATAACAACTCTTGTATGTGTATCAACCTTCATTGTTATATTATATATATATATATATATATATATATATATATATATATATATTATATATATATAAATATATATATATATATATATATAAATATATATATGCAAAACAACCACTGTGAAAGAATAGAGAAGTTCCAAGCGCTTTCGTGACTACTCACATTATCAAGGAACAATGAAAGTAAAGCATCAAAGGAAGGTATATAAAGGGGTAGCCCACACCTCACTATCAGATACCATAACAACGAAACACCTGACGCGAGACAGCAGGCCCGCCGGTCGGACTAGACAGGTCCTTCATACAACCCATCAACAAACTATTCTACCTGGAGTTTACCTGGAGTTTACCTGGAGAGAGTTCCGGGGGTCAACGCCCCCGCTGCCCGGTCTGTGACCAGGCCTCCTGGTGGATCAGAGCCTGATCAACCAGGCTGTTGCAGCTGGCTGCACGCAAACCAACGTACGAGCCACAGCCCGGCTGGTCAGGAACCGACTTTAGGTGCTTGTCCAGTGCCAGCTTGAAGACTGCCAGGGGTCTGTTGGTAATCCCCCTTATGTATGCTGGGAGGCAGTTGAACAGTCTCGGGCCCCTGACACTTATTGTATGGTCTCTTAACGTGCTAGTGACACCCCTGCTTTTCATTGGGGGGATGTTGCGTCGTCTGCCAAGTCTTTTGCTTTCGTAGTGAGTGATTTTCGTGTGCAAGTTCGGTACTAGTCCCTCTAGGATTTTCCAGGTGTATATAATCATGTATCTCTCCCGCCTGCGTTCCAGGGAATACAGTTTTAGGAACCTCAAGCGCTCCCAGTAATTGAGGTGTTTTATCTCCGTTATGCGCGCCGTGAAGGTTCTCTGTACATTTTCTAAGTCAGCAATTTCACCTGCCTTGAAAGGTGCTGTTAGTGTGCAGCAATATTCCAGCCTAGATAGAACAAGTGACCTGAAGAGTGTCATCATGGGCTTGGCCTCCCTAGTTTTGAAGAAATTTATAAAATTATTATTTGTCCAATGTATTATTAAATTCTTCCCAAATTCTTTTAATTATAAATGGATCTAATTTATATAAACCAAGGGAAATATTCATATTATTATCAAAACTGCTTTTTATGAAACAAGATTCAATTATATTCTTGTCGACCATGGACTTGCTTGACAGGAATATAATTGAATCTTGTTTCATAAAAAGCAGTTTTGACAATAATATGAATATTTCCCTTGGTTTATATAAATTAGATCCATTTATAATTAATAGAATTTGGGAAGAATTTAATAATACATTGGACAAATAATAATTTTTTAAATTTCTTGGGTAGAATAGTTTGTTGGTGGGTTGTATGAAGGACCTGTCTAGTCCGACCGGCGGGCCTGCTGTCTCGCGTCAGGTGTTTCGTTGTTGTGGTATCTGATAGTGAGGTGTGGGCTACCCCTTTATATACCTTCCTTTGATGCTTTACTTTCATTGTTCCTTGATAATGTGAGTAGTCACGAAAGCGCTTGGAATTTCTCTATTCTTTCATAGTGGTTGTTTTGCATAATCTGAAATCACCTGTTTACTGTGATCTTATTGCATATATATATATATATATATGTATATATATATATATATATATATATATATATATATATATATATATATATATATATATATATATATATATATATATATATATTTATATATATATATATATATATATATATATATATATATATATATATATATATATTATATATAATATATATATATGTATATGTATATGTATATGTATATGTATATATATATAGGGAAGTATAATATTAGAATGGGTGGGTAGGGGATGTGTGGATCAGCAGTTTACATTGAAGTATATAAGTGAACAGTATTTAGATGAAGGTTGGGAAGTTTTCATTACATTTATGGATTTAGAAAAGGCATATAATATAGTGGATAGGAGAACAATGTGGAAGATGTTGCAAGTGTATGGAATAGGTGGTAAGTTATTAAATGTTGTAAAGAGTTTTTATGAGGATAGTGAGTCTCAGGTTAGGGTGTGTATGAGAGAGGGAGACTCCTTCCCGGTAAAAGTAGATCTTAGACAGGTATATGTAATGTCACCATGATTGTTTAACATATTTATAGATGGGGATGTTAAAGAAGTAAATGCTAGGGTGTTGGGGAGAGGAGTGGGATTAAATTATGGGGAATCAAATACAAAATCGGAGTTGACACAGTTACCTTTTACTGATGATACTGTGCTTTTGGTGGATTCTGAAGAAAAGTTGCAAAGGTTAGTGGACAAGTTTGGGAGGGTGTGTAAAGGTAGAAAGTTGAAAGTGAACATAGATATCAGTGAGGTGATGAGGGTATCAAACGATTTAGATAAAGAAAAACTGGATATCACATTGGAGGGAGGGAGAATGGAGGAAGTGAATGTTTTCAGATATTTAGGAGTTGATTTGTCAACGGATGGGTCTATGAAGGATGAGGTCAACTATAGAACTTATGAAGGAAAAAAGGTGAGTGGTGCGTTGAGGTATCTGTGGAGACAAAGAATGTTGTCCATGGAAGCAAAGAAGGGAATGTACGAGAGTATTGTGGTAACAACACTCTTAAATAACAAAGAAAGGCACAATACCATGACTGGAACGATACATAAATAACCCGCATATAGAAGAGAGGAGCCTACGGCGACGTTTCGGTCCGACTTGGACCATTTACAAAATCACACTAAATGGTTCAAGTCGGACCGAAACGTCGTCGTAGGCTCCTCTCTTCTATGTGCGGGTTATTTGTGTACCAACACTCTTATATGGGTGTGGAGCATGGGTTGTATATGCTGCGACGAGGAGGCGGCTGCAGGCAGTGGAGATGTCGTGTCTAAGGGCAATGTGTAGTGTAAATATTATGCAGAGAATTTGTAGTGAGGAAATTAGGAGGAGGTGTGAAATTACTAAAAGTATTAGTCAGAGGGCTGAAGAGGTGCTGTTGAGGTGGTTTGGTTATTTAGAGAGAATGGAACAAAGTAGAATGACTTGGAGAGCAAATAAATCTGTAGGGGAAGGAAGGCGGGGTAGGGGTTGTCCCCGAAAAGGTTGGAGAGACAGGGTAAAGAAGGTTTTGTGGGCGAGAGACTTGGACTTCTAGCAAGCGTACATGTGCGTGTTAGATGGGAGTGAATGGAGATGGATGGTTTTTGGAACCTGACGAGGTGTTGCAGTGTGAGCAGGGTAATATTTCGTGAAGGGATTCATGGAAACCAGTTAGCCGGACTTGAATCTTGGAAATGAGAAGTACAATGCATGCACTTTAAAGGAGGGATTTGGGATTTTGGCAGTTTAAAGGGACGTCTAAGCTGTCGTATGTGAGCGCCTCTGCAAAGACAGTGATTGTGTGAGTGATGATGACAGAGTTTTGTTTTTTCTTTCTTTTTGGGTCACCCTGCCTCGGTGGGAAACGGCCGATATGTTAATATATATATATATATCTATATCTATATATATATATATTATATATATATATATAATATATATATATATATATATATATATATATATATATATATATATATATATATATAATATATATATATGTACAGAGTGAGACATTCAACCTCTCGGTGATATTATTACATTCGAGATGAAGAGCTAAACCCACATGGTTCCTACAGCAACCTGAATGCTATAGACTTTTCTCGTGTATTTTAACATGTCTGCGACAAAAAAAAAATTCTGATAGGACTACGGCTATTTATATAGTTTTTTTTTTCATAGAAGTGTTTGCCCTGATGTATATAAATGTTGAGAACGACGTTTATAATGTAAAAAAATAACAGATCAGTAACATATATAAATTTTGTTTATACTTTCCAGTAAATCCTGTTTGATTTAGCACAAACACAGCCAAATGGAAAGTGTTGACGTATTAATAACATCGTTGTAATTTCAGAACTAAAAGAGATGTTTAAATATTTGTCAACCAGTTTGAAAATTATTTGTTCTCTGCTTATTGTGTATGTACTCACCTAGTTGTACTCACCTAGTTGAGGTTGCGGGGGTCGAGTCCGAGCTCCTGGCCCCGCCTCTTCACTGATCGCTACTAGGTCACTCTCCCTGAGCCGTGAGCTTTATCATACCTCTGCTTAAAGCTATGTATGGATCCTGCCTCCACTACATCGCTTCCCAAACTATTACACTTACTGACTACTCTGTGGCTGAAGAAATACTTCCTAACATCCCTGTGACTCATCTGTGTCTTCAGCTTCCAACTGTGTCCCCTTGTTACTGTGTCCAATCTCTGGAACATCCTGTCTTTGTCCACCTTGTCAATTCCTCTCAGTATTTTGTATGTCGTTATCATGTCCCCCCTATCTCTCCTGTCCTGTGTGTGTGTGTGTGTGTGTGTGTGTGTGTGTATGTATGTGTGTGTGTGTGTGTGTGAGTGTGTGTGTGTGTGTGTATGTGTACTCACCTAGTTGAGGTTGCGGGGGTCGAGTCCGAGCTCCTGGCCCCGCCTCTTCACTGATCGCTACTAGGTCACTCTCCCTGAGCCGTGAGCTTTATCATACCTCTGCTTAAAGCTATGTATGGATCCTGCCTCCACTACATCGCTTCCCAAACTATTCCACTTACTGACTACTCTGTGGCTGAAGAAATACTTCCTAACATCCCTGTGACTCATCTGTGTCTTCAGCTTCCAACTGTGTCCCCTTGTTACTGTGTCCAATCTCTGGAACATCCTGTCTTTGTCCACCTTGTCAATTCCTCTCAGTATTTTGTATGTCGTTATCATGTCCCCCCTATCTCTCCTGTCCTGTGTGTGTGTGTGTGTGTGTGTGTGTATGTATGTGTGTGTGTGTGTGTGTGTGTGTGTGTGTGTGTGTGTGTGTGTGTGTGTGTGTGAGTGTGTGTGTGTGTGTGTGTGTGTGTGTGTGAGTGTGTGTGTGTGGTGTGTGTGTGTGTGTGGTGTGTGTGTGTGTGTGTGTGTGTGTGTGTGTGTGTGTGTGTGTGTGTGTGTGTGTGTGTGTGTGTGTGTGTGTGTGTGTGTGTGTGAGTGTGTGTGTGTGTGTGTGTGTGTGTGTGTGTGTGTGTGTGTGTGTGTGTGAGTGTGTGTGTGTGTGTGTGTGTGTGTGAGTGTGTGTGTGTGTGTGTGTGTGTGTGTGTGTGTGTGTGTGTGTGTGTGTGTGTGAGTGTGTGTGTGTGTGAGTGTGTGTGTGTGTGTGTACTCACCTAGTTGTACTCACCTAGTTGAGGTTGCGGGGGTCGACTCCGAGCTCCTGGCCCCGCCTGTTCACTGATCGCTACTAGGTCACTCTCCCTGAGCCGTGAGCTTTATCATACCTCTGCTTAAAGCTATGTATGGATCCTGCCTCCACTACATCGCTTCCCAAACTATTCCACTTACTGACTACTCTGTGGCTGTGTGTGTGTGTGTGTGTGTGTGTGTAAGTGTAAGTGTGTGTGTGTGTGTGTGTGTGTGTGTGTGTGTGTGTGTGTGTGTGTGTGTGTGTACTTTATGCCAAATGCTTCGACCTGTCACCTTTAAACTTTCTATTTAAATTCCTGAGGGTCATACGTGAGCGCCTGTTCTATTTGCTGGAGATGGCCTCAATGACTGACTTGCTGACTGGCTTAGTGACTGTCTGACTGGCTTAGTGACTCTCTGACTGGCTTAGTGACTGTCTGACTGGTTTAGTGACTGGCTTAGTGACTGACTGGCTTAGTAACTGTCTGGCTGGCTTAGTGACTGTCTAGCTGGCTTAGTGACTGTCTGACTGGCTTAGTGACTGCCTGACTGCCTTAGTGACTGTCTGACTGGCTTAGTGACTGTCTGGCTGGTTTAGTAACTGCCTGACTGGCTTAATGACTGTCTGACTGGCTTAGTAACTGTCTGACTGGCTTAGTGACTGTCTGACTGACTTAGTAACTGTCTGACTGGTTTAGTGACTGTCTGACTGGCTTAGTGACTGTCTGACTGGCTTAGTGACTGTCTGAATGGCTTAGTGACTGTCTGACTGGTTTAGTAACTGCCTGACTGGCTTATTGACTGTCTGACTGGCTTAGTAACTGTCTGACTGGCTTAGTGACTGTTTTAGTGGCTTAGTGACTACCTGACTGGCTTAGTGACTGCCTGACTGGCTTAGTGACTGTCTGGCTGGCTTAGTAACTGTCTGACTGGCTTAGTGACTGTCCTACTGGCTTAGTAACTGTCTGACTGGCTTAGTAACTGTCTGACTGGCTTAGTAACTGTCTGACTGGCTTAGTAACTGTCTGACTGGCTTAGTAACTGTCTGACTGGATTAGTGACTGTTTTAGTATCTTAGTGACTGCCTGACTGGCTTAGTGACTGTCTGACTGGCTTAGTGACTGTCTGACTGGCTTAATGATTGTCTGGCGACTTAGTAACTGTTTGACGGCTTAGTGACTGTCTGACTGGCTTAGTGACTGTCTGACTGGCTTAGTGACTGTCTGACTGGCTTAGTAACTGTCTGACTGGCTTAGTGACTGTCTGACTGGCTTAGTAACTGTTTGACAGGCTTAGTGACTGTCTGGCTGGTTTAGCGACTAACTGGCTTAGTAACTGTCTGACTGGCTTAGCAACTGTCTGACTGGCTTAGTGACTGTCTGATTGGCTTAGTAACTGTCTGACTGGCTTAGTGACTGTTTTAGTGGCTTAGTGACTACCTGACTGGCTTAGTGACTACTGACTGGCTAGTGTGCTGACTGCTTAGTACTGTCTGCTGGTTTGAACTGTCTGACTGGCTTAGTGACTGTCTACTGGCTTAGTAACTGTCTGACTGGCTTAGTACTGTCTGACTGGCTTAGTACTGTCTGATGCTTAGTACTGTTGACTGGATTGACTGTTTTAGTATCTTAGTGACTGCCTGACTGGCTTAGTGACTGTCTGACTGGCTTAGTGACTGTCTGACTGGCTTAGTGACTGTCTGACTGGCTTAATGATTGTCTTGCTGACTTAGTGACTGTCTGACGGCTTAGTGACTGTCTGACTGGCTTAGTGACTGTCTAACTGGCTTAGTGACTGTCTGACTGGCTTAGTAACTGTCTGACTGGATTAGTGTCTGACTGGCTTAGTAACTGTCTTACTGGCTTAGTGACTGTCTGACTGGCTTAGTAACTGTCCGACTGGCTTAGTGACTGTCTGACTGGCATAGTAACTGTTTGACTGGCTTAGTGACTGTCTGGCTGGCTTAGCGACTGTCTAACTGGCTTAGTAACTGTCTGACTGGCTTAGCAACTGTCTGACTGGCTTAGTGACTGTCTGACTGGCTTAGTAACTGTCTGACTGGCTTAGTGACTGTTTTAGTGGCTTAGTGACTACCTGACTGGCTTAGTGACTGCCTGACTGGCTTAGTGACTGTCTGGCTGGCTTAGTAACTGCTTGACTAGCTTAGTGACTGTCCTACTGGCTTAGTAACTGTCTGACTGGCTTAGTAACTGTCTGACTGGCTTAGTAACTGTCTGACTGGCTTAGTAACTGTCTGACTGGCTTAGTAACTGTCTGACTGGCTTAGTAACTGTCTGACTGGATTAGTGACTGTTTTAGTATCTTAGTGACTGCCTGACTGGCTTAGTGAGTGTCTGACTGGCTTAGTGACTGTCTGACTGGCTTAATGATTGTCTGGCGACTTAGTGACTGTTTGACGGCTTAGTGACTGTCTGACTGGCTTAGTGACTGTCTGACTGGCTTAGTAACTGTCTGACTGGCTTAGTGACTGTCTGACTGGCTTAGTAACTGTTTGACAGGCTTAGTGACTGTCTGGCTGGCTTAGCGACTGTCTAACTGGCTTAGTAACTGTCTGACTGGCTTAGCAACTGTCTGACTGGCTTAGTGACTGTCTGACTGGCTTAGTAACTGTCTGACTGGCTTAGTGACTGTTTTAGTGGCTTAGTGACTACCTGACTGGCTTAGTGACTGCCTGACTGGCTTAGTGACTGTCTGGCTGGCTTAGTAACTGTCTGACTGGCTTAGTGACTGTCCTACTGGCTTAGTAACTGTCTGACTGGCTTAGTACCTGTCTGACTGGCTTAGTAGCTGTCTGACTGGCTTAGTAACTGTCTGACTGGATTAGTGACTGTTTTAGTATCTTAGTGACTGCCTGACTGGCTTAGTGACTGTCTGACTGGCTTAGTGACTGTCTGACTGGCTTAGTGACTGTCTGACTGGCTTAATGATTGTCTGGCTGACTTATTGACTGCTGACGCTTATTTACTGTAATACTTGTCTGTTACTGGCTTATTTACTGTCTGATCTAGCTGCTGACTTAGTAACTGTCTTACTGGCTTAGTGACTGTCTGACTGGTATAGTGACTGTCTGACTGGCTTAGTAACTGTCTGACTGGCTTAGTAACTGTCTGACTGGCTTAGTAACTGTCTGACTGGCTTAGTAACTGTCTGACTGGCTTAGTAACTGTCTGACTGGCTTAGTGACTGTCTGGCTTTGTAACTGTCTGACTGGCTTAGTGACTGTCTGACTGGCTTAGTGACTGTCTGACTGGCTTAGTGACTGACTTAGTAACTGTCTGACTGGCTTAGTTACTGTCTGACTGGCTTAGTAACTGTCTGACTAGCTTAGTGACTGTTTGACTGGCTTAGTGACTGTTTGACTGGCATAGTGATTGTCTGGCTTAGTAACTGTCTGACTGGCTTAGTGACTCTCTGACTGGCTTAATAACTGTCTGACTGGCTTAGTAACTGTCTGATTGGCTAATAACTGTCTGACTAGCTTACTGACTTTCTGACTGGCTTAGTGATTGATAGACTGGCTAAGTGACTTCTGACTGGCTTAGTGACTGGCTGAATGGCAGGCTAGTTAACTGACTGTGTGCTTAATTGGCGAACTAACTAACTAATGAACTAGGAGAATGACGGGCTAGTTGACTGACGAGCTAGTTGAGAGGCTTAATTAATGATCAGCTTGCTAATTCTCAGCTATTTGAGGTAACCCAACAAATCGCCTAAATCAACCCTGTTCAAAGATGCTCAGGATGTTGCTAGTAAAGACATCTTGATCCAGGGAGACGGAGCTACTCACCCCCTCCAGATTCCTACGGCTTTTGTGCTCCATTAGAGTACATAAAGACATTAAGTTTTTGCTCACGTTCTGAGGTAATCAGTCCCAGAACAACACATGCAAGAGGGTAATATTCTGTCTTAGGCAACGGACGTCATGACGTCAGGCTCGGAGATAGATACGTCACCTGTGAGGTCAAGTATGGATCACAGATCTTTCGTACAGAAATCACCATTGGCACCTCTTGAAAGCATGCAGTTGTGTACTTGATAAAGTCCAGCCTTGGCCGTGACGTTGTGTTGACAGGGTTTTGTGCAGTGCCTGTACTCCACTCGTCTACTTTTAACATTGCTAACCTACCTGAATATAAACCTATCTACCTACCTGACTGTCAACCTATCTCTCCAGCTGTCTGTCTACCCGTATATCAAGCTGTCTACCCATCTCTCTCTCTCTCTCTCTCTCTCTCTCTCTCTCTCTCTCTCTCTCTCTCTCTATCTATCTATCTATCTATCTATCTATCTATCTATTTATCTATCTATCTATCTATCTATCTATCTATCTATCTATCTATCTCTACCTTTCCTTACCTCTCTAACGGATACCACTTCCTTCTGTTCCTCTCCGAGTCCTTCCAACGCCTTTGCATCTTCCACATTTCCTTTCCTCCTTGCATTATCTCCCTCTTCCGTCTCTTCTTCTTCCTCCTCCTCCTCCTCGTCTTTCTTCACCTCCTCCTTGGAGAGGGCCTCGGGGCTCGAAGTGGAGATTTCTGATGAGTCCGCGTCCTCTAAACACCTGGCACACACCTGGAACATTATTATTATTATTATTATTATTATTAGTAGTAGTAGTAGTAGTAGTAGTAGTAATTATATAAATAATATTATAATAATATTATTATATTCACTAGGAGGAGGCAAATTAGAAGGGAAATGTTGACACCAGTTCCCTGGTGTCAACAGTGGGGCTATGTTGGTGGTGGTGGTGGTGGTGGTGGTGGTGGTGGTGGTGGTGGTGGTGGTGGTGGTGGTGGTGATGATGATGATGATGATGATGATGATGATGATGATGAGATGATGATGTGATGATGAGATGATGATGGCTGTACTGGTTACTGCAGTGTTGGTGGTGGTGGGGTGGTGGTGGTGGTGGTCGGGGTGGGGTTGGGGTGGTGGTGTTGGTGATGGTGTTGGTGTTGTTGGTGGTGGTGGTGTTTATAGTGCTAGTGGTGGTGCTGGTGTGGTGATGCTGGTGGTAACTGTGGTGGTGGTGACTGATGATTGTGGTGGCAATGATGGCCGGGATTATTGTAGAGCAAATCACACACACACACACATACACACACACACACACACACACACACACACACACACACACACACACACACACACACACACACACACACACACACACACACACACACACACACACACAAACACACACACACACACACACACAGACTGCCCCGCGGTCGCTGTAACTTAAAATACAAAAACAGACCCAATTTAAAACACAACATCAATAACCCCCAAAAAAAACACACATTTATCACCTAAAATATCCCTAAAATTTACCCGTGGATTTTTTTTCTGCCCGAATCAAGATATACCGAGCAGATGAGTTAATATATTAGCCAGAAGGTATATACGTTAATGTAAGAGCCGGGCGGTGTAATAGGTCCTCAGGGGTCGCTTAAAGAATAGCTGCTAGACCTAGAATATCGGCTTGGCGATTTATACACCAGAAGAACCATTAAATGAACCTTAGACCAACAACTTTATGACGAAGAAGATAATTGGATCTTGAAACGCACCTAAAAGTGATCTGTACATTTTGCCCTCAGAGATCATCTTCAGTGCAAAAGGGTCTTGGATGAAACCGAAACAAACAAATCCATTTTGAGTGTGTGTGTGTGTGTGTGTGTGTGTGTCTGTGTGTGTGTGTGTGTGTGTGTGTGTGTGTGTGTGTGTGTGTGTGTGTGTGTGTGTGTGTGTGTGTGTGTGTGTGTGTGTGTGTGTGTGTGTGTTGTGTGTGTGTGTGTGGTGTGTGTGTGTATGTGTGTGTGTGTGTGAGTGTGTGTGTGTGTGTGTGTGTGTGTGTGTGTGTGTGTGTGTGAGTGTGTGTGTGTGTGTGTGTGTGTGTGTGTGTGTGTGTGTGTGTGTGTGTGTTGTGTGTGTGTGTGTGTGTGTGTGGTGTGTGTGTGTAGTGTGTGTGTGTGTGGTGAGTGTGTGTGTGTGTGTGTATGTGTACTCACCTAGTTGAGGTTGCGGGGGTCGAGTCCGAGCTCCTGGCCCCGCCTCTTCACTGATCGCTACTAGGTCACTCTCCTGAGCCGTGAGCTTTATCATACCTCTGCTTAAAGCTATGTATGGATCCTGCCTCCACTACATCGCTTCCAAACTATTCCACTTACTGACTACTCTGTGGCTGAAGAAATACTTCCTAACATCCTGTGATTCATCTGTGTCTTCAGCTTCCAACTGTGTCCCCATGTTACTGTGTCCAATCTCTGGAACATCCTGTCTTTGTCCACCTTGTCAATTCCTCTCAGTATTTTGTATGTCGTTATCATGTCCCCCCTATCTCTCCTGTCCTCCAGTGTCGTCAGGTTGATTTCCCTTAACCTCTCCTCGTAGGACATACCTCTTAGCTCTGGGACTAGTCTTGTTGCAAACCTTTGCACTTTCTCTAGTTTCTTTACATGCTTGGCTAGGTGTGGGTTCCAAACTGGTGCGCATACTCCAATATGGGCCTAACGTACACGGTGTACAGGGTTCTGAACGATTCCTTATTAAGATGTCGGAATGCTGTTCTGAGGTTTGCTAGGCGCCCATATGCTGCAGCAGTTATTTGGTTGATGTGCGCTTCAGGGAGATGTGCCTGGTGTTATACTCACCCAAGATCTTTTTCCTTGAGTGATGTTTGTAGTCTCTGGCCCCTAGACTGTACTCCGTCTGCGGTCTTCTTTGCCCTTCCCCAATTCTCATGACTTGCACTTGGTGGGATTGAACTCCAGGAGCCAGTTGCTGGACAGGTCTGCAGCTGTCCAGATCCCTTTGTATTTCTGCCTGGTCTTCGATCGAATGAACTCTTCTCATCAACTTCACGTCATCTGCAAACAGGGACACCTCGGAGTTATTCTTTCCGTCATGTCGTTCACAAATACCAGAAACAGCACTGGTCCTAGGACTGACCCCTGTGGGACCCCGCTGGTCACAGGTGCCCACTCTGACACCTCGCCACGTACCATTACTCGCTGCTGTCTTCCTGACAAGTATTCCCTGATCCATTGCAGTGCCTTCCCTGTTATCCCTGCTTGGTCCTCCAGTTTTTGCACTAATCTCTTGTGTGTTACTGTGTCAAACGCTTCTTGCAGTCCAAGAAAATGCAATCTACCCACCACTCTCTCTCTTGTCTTACTGCTGTCACCATGTCATAGAACTCCAGTAGGTTTGTGACACAGGATTTCCCGTCTCTGAAACCATGTTGTCTGCTGGTGATGAGATCATTCCTTTCTAGATGTTCCACCATTCTTCTGACAATCTTTTCCATGATTTTGCATGCTATACATGTCAGTGACACTGGTCTATAGTTTAGTGCTTCATGTCTGTCTCCTTTTTTAAAGATTGAGACTACATTTTCTGTCTTCCATGCCTCAGGCAATCTCCCTGTTTCGATAGATGTATTGAATATTGTTGTTAGAGGTACACATAGTGCCTCTGCTCCCTCTCTCAGGACCCATGGAGAGATGTTATCTGGCCCCATTGTCTTTGACGTATCTAGCTCACTCAGAAGCCTCTTCACTTCTTCCTCGGTTGTGTGTACTGTGTCCAGCACATGGTGGTGTACCCCACCTCTCCGTCTTTCTGGAGCCCCTTCTGTCTCCTCTGTGAACACTTCTTTGAATCTCTTGTTGAGTTCCTCACATACTTCACGGTCATTTCTTGTTGTCTCTCCTCCTTCCTTCCTTAGCCTGATTACCTGGTCCTTGACGGTTGTTTTCTTCCTGATGTGGCTGTATAACAGCTTCGGGTCAGATTTGGCTTTCGCTGCTATGTCGTTTTCATATTGACGTTGGGCCTCCCTTCTTATCTGTGCATATTCGTTTCTGGCTCTACGACTGCTCTCCTTATTCTCCTGGGTCCTTTGCCTTCTATATTTCTTCCATTCCCTAGCACACTTGGTTTTTGCCTCCTTGCATCTTTGGGTTAACCATGGGCTCATCCTGGCTTTTTCATTATTCCTGTTACCCTTAGGTACAAACCTCTCCTCAGCCTCCTTGCACATTGTTGTGTGTGTGTGTGTGTGTGTGTGTGTGTGTGTGTGTGTGTGTGTGTGTGTGTGGTGTGTGTGTGTGTGTGTGTGTGTGTGTATGTGTGTGTGTGTGTGTGCATGTGTGTGTGTGTGTGTGTGTGTGTGTGGCATGTGTGTGTGTGTGTGTGTGTGTGTGTGTGTGTGTGTGTGTGTGTGTGTGTGTGTGTGTGTGTGCATGTGTGTGTGTGCATGTGTGTGTGTGTGTGTGTGTGTATGTGTGTGTGTGTGTGTGTGTGTGTGTGTGTGTGTGTGTGTGCTACAGCTATTCAAGTACCTAACAGCAGAGCTGTTCTCACCTAGTGTGTGTGTATATGTTTATGTAAACAGTCCTTATTTCCCACGTATGTACTACATATGTATTGCATAAGTACCCGATCTCTTGGTTCCCACTGTGGTCTTATGCGTTTAAAATTACGTTCAAAAATAAATACACTAGGCTTCGCCTATATGCCGCTACCTCTAAATTCTATTAAATGCCAGTAAATGCTGCTTATTCTAATTCTAATAGCTCGAGGAGAGTGACCCCCCCAATTCCAGCTAGAGACAGGTAGTATTGACCCCATGCAACTCAAACTAGGTGAATATTACTTGCGGCTGGCAGTGAGTAACGTTGCGGGTCTGTCCTGTCCCAGAAGTTGATGTTTGATGCTTCTCGGTAATTTTTCCACTAACTTCCTGTATGCACTATAGTCTCTAGCTCTTCTAATTTTTTCACTCACTCACTGTATTTACTGACACATCTATACATATCTCTTATCTCCCTGGTCTTGAGTCACACTTATTCTTCAAAATACCCCACTGCATTATTATGGCAACACTATTTAGGCCTGACACAACCGGTCACCCTTCCAACGGCCTCCAATAAACACTCAGCCACTATTTCCTTTGTTTTCTTTTCTGTGATCACTTATATTTCCTTTTTTCGGGGCTTAAGTGATTATATGCACTCTTATGCGTGCACACGTCTATATCCCACACTCTATTCCTTATGGCACAGTCAGAAATTATCACCAAAACACGAGCTCAAACCGCGTGACTCCTCCACGAGTATGTGTGTGTGTGTGTGTGTGTGTGTGTGTGTGTGTGTGTGTGTGTGTGTGTGTGTGTGTGTGTGTGCGTGTGTGTGTGTGTGTGTGTGTGTGTGTCTTCAGTTTTCTCTCCAGGTTGGAGAGAAAACTGAATAATAAAAGAGTAAAAAAAATCCATTGTGTAACTGGGAACCCAAAGAGAAGCTATGAAAAATTGTGAATATTTCGTCCTAAAATTGCTACCGTCTTCAGTAGTATGATAAGAGATCATCGGTGGTAGGCCAAAATATTGAGTAACTTTCACATCTACTGTAGTCTTAAAGATTCCCGTCAAGATGCATGGCGCCCAGTAGTAACCTATCAGTCTCGCTAACGACATCCTGCAGTTATTTGAGCAAGAAACCCTTCAACGGGAGAGAGAGGCTGGATGCTGCAGGTCATTTGATCCAAGGAATCAGAACTAC